AAATCGATCATAAATTTCCTCCTTCCCCGGATAGCTTTAATTAATACACTTTTTCGACACCTATTACTTTTGCAGATCTTCGTGTGCATTGCTTTCTTTGTATAGAAAGTACATTTTCTGCAAACAGTAAGTAGATCTCTTCTGAAAGTAGATTTTGTGATTGATAAATTCGTTAGAATGTGTGTCACAAACCGTATATCAAACGAAATTCAACGATTTTTATATAGCTATCATTTTTGTCGTATCGTTATTCGTATATTTTTGAGAAATAAATTACACGAGAAATGTATATAGTAAAATGTAAAACGAAGAGGCACATAAAAGTGAATTATCAGTCACATTTTGGATAACTCTGATGATGCTTGTAGCATGTAATGTGACTGAATGGATGTTTATATCCAACTATTATCAGAAATTAATGTTAGAAACTAACATTGAAATGATAAAAAATTTAGCAATTACCAATACATTATATAATTTTGTAATGTTGAAATGTAATAGTCATGGTCGTAAATATTATATCAGTTGGATTACAAATACTTGGGTAGTTTGATTGTATTTTGTCTCAATGAATTTCAACTTCAGTATTACTATCTAGAGAGCTGTCACCTGTGATGGTGTATAATAATGCTAAAATTATCAAGTCAATGATTGTCAACTTTTCATTTTTTTCAGTTATTTTTGGCAAAATAAATATTAATTTTTATTAACAAAGATTTAATTATATATATCATTTATACAATTTTAATTATTGCTACTTATATGTATTATATTTATGTATATCTTATAAGTCAGGAATTCTTGTGTTAAAATTCTTGCATGTAACAAGTAGAATATTTAAAATCGCTTCAAAACGATTATTTAAATTATATTTAAGAACTGTTATTACATTTATTAAGAATTATTTAAATTACTTAAGAAAATTATTTAACAGCGGATATCTCACTTAAAAAATAATGTGGAACACTAGACTTATTGGTCTATAATGTGAAAATGTATATGTCTTAAATATGAAAT